AATGGATCAAATAGAAAGTTATTGTTTCGAAAATGATGATGGCAACATATGTACAAATATGCTTGATGCAATTGATTGTTATAAGAGCCCCCAATAAAATAATCTTTAATAATTAAAAAAATAGTCTTCTATGCATCCTCTCAACAAGTATTTGTTGAGCACCTATTATATAAAAAGCACTCTACTGAGGGTATGAATATAATAGAATGGCCTGAGGCTGGGGCCAAACCAAACCTGTGAGTTTGTTCAATCAAGCCAAATCTTCCCTGTGTTTACTCGCAGGCCTTTCAATGGACCCACATTAAATTTCACCTCAATTTAGGTGGTCCCTAAAATGTGTACTAAGTGCTTACATAAACCGGCTCAGCACTCCAGCTTCCAAGGACAGATTAGTGGAGCCTGTACCTACCTAAGATGCCTTGGCTGGAAATCGAACCCTGGTCTCTTGCATGGAAAATGGCGAAGTCTACCACTGAACTACCACTGTTCTTTGTCAGGACTGGATTTTCTCCTAACCGGTTTCCCTGTTTCACCTCTCTCTTCGATTTGTCCTCCAGCTATCCCTTCAAAATTGCAAATTTGATCTATTTACTTCCTTCTTTTAAATCCTCGGATCCTTCTTTAATACCCACAGGACAAAATTCAAAACCGTATGTATGATATTCAGGAGTCTTTATGATTTTGATACAATTTGCTTTGATCCAGTCACACCAGGCTGCTCATTGTTCGTGGAAATATGCCATACACTTACATGTCTTATGACTTTTGCTATGCTTTGCTTTTGCTTGAATTATCCATAAATAAGGAACTTCCATTCATCTTACAAGATTGAAAGTAACCACGATGCCTTCTCGGAAATCTTCTGGACTCTCTCTCGCCACTACGAAAGTACTTCCTCAGCTGCCCTCCCAAAGCACTTTGCTCATGCCTTTGCTATGAAGCTTACTGTATCGCATTAAGGCGAGTCTTCTTCATGTTACTGAGTGCTCCTGGTGGACAATGTCCATGTTTCTCTCATTGTCATATTCCTTGTGGCAGCTACACACTGGCTGATACATGGTAGACACTCAAGATACATTTGGCGAATAACTGAACCTTCGGCTTGATTAGTGTGACGGACGACTAGGCTGTGGGTCAAATGTATCAAAAAGTGTCTTAAAAACAAAATGACTACTAGCGTTAGCTGTACTGCATTGTAACACTCTAGAGCTGAAGTTATTCTAAAGGACATTGGATCCAATCCCCTCCTGAACCAAATAGAATAGAAGCTTTACAACCCTCTTTTTTTTTTTAATGCTACTCAGATAGCCTTTGATGCCCACACCAGTAACCCTCCTCTGTAATTATCAAGGCTGAAATATCATTCATTGCCATTTATACTCATTCCACACCACGTGATCTTCTTTAGCATTGTAATAAAATGTATGGTCACTAACTCTCTTCACTTTTTTGTAATCCCACTAGGAATCTTCTGATCAGTTCTTAGAGACTAAAAAGTAGATCATATAGACACAATATATATAAGCGTAATGTGTGAATATTTGTGCATCTCCTACCAAGCATAGGAATGAAAAACATTATGAAGT